GGCAATACGTTAAGTGTTTGTTCTCTTCAATATATTGTAATTGATTTTAAGTTAGATACTTATATAAAAATAATATTAAGGTTGGTCCTATTATTGATATTTAATTGGACTCGCTTACCATGAGTTGTTAAGTAAGATGACTCTTTATAAATTCTCAAATTTTTACATAAATGATATCTTATATTCAACTAGAAAGATGGATTTAATCAAGTGCATGCTATTGAATCTAGAATTGCATCTCATTGCTATTGCTAGACACAAAAATATTCAAATCAAATTGGACTCTTTACCTTCTTGCTTTTTGTTGTTGTGAAAGAGACGAGAACCTTCCATTGGGTTATTTTAAGGTTCAATTATTCAAACTTTTCTTTCCATGGTGCTTTCACATGGGATATAGTTTGCTTCATCTTTCATTCTTAAGCTAAGCATAGTTTCCTTCTTTCTTCCCCACTTTTTATACAAACCAACATTATATCATTCTCTCTTTCCCTACATCCTGCATTCATAAAATTCCATAACTCATACATCTTTCATTTTCAATTATAAATCCAAGATCCTCTACATTAAGCAATGAAAGAAAGTGAAAATGAAGGATCACTTGAAACCCAGCTGTCTTATTTCCCTTTTCAGAATGCCAAGGAGAACATTGTATTTTTATCTGTCTAAAATCTTGCAAATCTCCTCGTACAAGTAATTAAGAAAATATGTTATGCAAAATGGTATTAATAAGCTGAAAGAAAATCCGCAATTCCCCACTCACCCCTTCTTGTCCACTTTTTCTATTCGATCATTCAATAATAGAGGAGCCAAGTCAAATTTGCAAACAGATTTAGGTAGGTCCGTATCTGTTTAGGTAACAACTGAGCCTACAGAAGAAGTGTTAGGGGGGCAAAGTGTAGACCAAATGCACATGGTTGAAAAAGAAGCACATGACTTAGTCCCACGAGAATAAATATGGTAGGTGTAAATGTGGATGGACATGACAAACTGGTTCAAATATAATTCCTAGAAAAATTGGCAATTCAATCGCCATGGACATTGCAAATCATTTGGCAAATGAGGATTTGATACAAGCGGATGATAAAATCAAACACAGAATAAAAGAGAGAAAAAAGACACCCGCACCTGCTTTATAGAATATTTGAGAAGATCTCTCAAAGAACTTAATCGGTGCATCTATTTATAGCTACAAAGGAAGAAATGCAGCCTGTTAAAAACAATATGAGAAAGCACAAGCTTTAAGTTAATGAAAATCCAACCAAAATACTAGAAATTGAATCAATGCAAACAGATACAATCGAATCTTATATGAAGAATGTTCAATAAAGACGACCTTTTAAGTTCAGAGTTACCAGCAAAAGAAACTCAGGCCTCCATGCTAAAACACAAAAGTCAAACGAGATAAGAATTTGTAAGCAAAGAACATTGCACTGTTCTGCAAAGTATCAATGCTAGCTGTATTGATATTGAAATTTCAGACTATCTGGTATGAGCAGATATGCCTACTTAATGTATCAAACACCTGAGAAAAGAGGAATGAAAGAGACATATATTACTAGCCACTTAGGAGGATCGATATACCTTCATTCCATTAAGCTAGGCCTTGTAAAATCAATCAAACTCAATAAATTGTACAAATATAAACAGCAACGAGCCAATTAATGCTCATGAAAATATATACAGCAGTGTTTAGGTTTTTGTCATAGATGACCTGAGCTATGGAAATCATTGAACTGTACGAGTGGATTTCAATCGAATCAGGTCATGAAACAAAGATTACATCTCTACAAGAGAAGTAAGTGTTTATTAGCAATTAGACTAGGAACTGTTACTTTAAGCAATTTTAACAGCCATTAAAAACAAGGCGAAGGTAGCCAAAAAAATAAACACCAAGGCAAAGAAAAAAAGGGAAACAAAACAAGAATCAAGGTAAACACAACTACACAAGTAGGGTACATACAGATCAATGAATAGTGGAAAGTCGCTGCTATGGTCTGGCAAAAACACCCCACTTCTTTCCACGGCCAAGACTCTCTGATAGCTTCTTAGCCCCTTCGACATCCATCTCAACCAGTTTCTCCAAGTGCACACAAGCACCGGCAGCAACCATCTGCTTCCTACACTTTTTAGAATGGGCAAGCTCTGCCAATATCAAAACTGGGTACTTCATATCCAAATTCTGTACCAAAGGATCCAAGAGCTGCACTACGCTCATTATCCCTCTCTCATCCTTCCGGAAAATCTTCCTGTTACCTTGACATAACATAAGGGTAGACAATGCTTTAGCTGCAGCTTCTTTCACTTCGACGGCCTTGCCATCAAGCATCTTGATCAATGCAACAACACACCCACATTCACCCATTTCTCTCCTCGTTTTTGAGCTGAATCCAAGCTCGTAAACAGCTCGAGCAGCAGCAATTCTCACCCCTAAAACTCCACAGTTTAACACTGCTACGACACGGGCAATGAATCCATCAGATACAAGAACTTCTGCAATTGGTGGGCAAGAAGCTAAGTGCCTTAACAACTCAACAGCAACTTCAAGACTCTTCTCGGTTGGAGATGAATCCCAGAAATTATTCAAGCATTCAATTCCACCCTCCTTAGCTATCAAAAGCTTCAGACTTTGATCATCAGAGGCCAAATTAGCCAAACACCCAATTGCATTTTCTTGCGCTAACGCAGTTCCGGAGGAAGCAAGCCCAATCAGGACGAAAACGGCATTCTCTTCGATGAAATTCTCCCTAATTTCACTGCAAGCTGCGAGATTTCTCAAAACGCCAGCTGCAAAAGCCTGTGACCCAGGAGTTCCAGCCTGGCAAATTTCTAACAGAGACGAAATTCCACCTCTAGACCCAATTGCTCTGGCGTTCTCCTTCGAAAGGCTCAGAGCCTGCAATGCAATGCAAGCTTTTTCCTTGGCAAACCCACTTCCAGATTCAAGAACCCGAGGCAAATGATTCAACAGCAGCAACCCATCGGCGATTAAGACATGTTTGCTGCTATCAACCAACGAAACCCTGGAAATGGCGGCGACGGCCTTCTCCTTCATCTCGAAAGAGCTCGAGTCCAGTAGGCGAACCAGAACAGGGACCACCCCCTGAGCCACCGCAATCGTCACGTTCTTATCATCTTCTTGAAGCAAACCTAAGAGCGAGTCCATGGCAGAGTTCTTCGAGTCAGCAGCCCCAATCTGCAACCGAGTTATCAAGTTCCTCGCCTCCACCCGCACAGCTTCCTTCTTTGAAGAACTCGAGGCGACATCGTCTTGCAGGACACCGCTCCGAATCAAAATCTCACTGTCGTTAATATGTTGGTCCAGCTTCGCCAAGAGGGCGTCAATGTCGCTCTGGGTCTTCAGCTTCCCCTCAGCCAAATTGGGGCCCTGACATTTCTCCGCTAAAGAAAGGGCGTCATTTAAGCCGCAGGAGATGGAATACAGAAGCTCAACTGAAAGTGGGTTCGAGGAAGAAGCCGGAAAATCGGAGAAATCGGTGAGTTGGGTCCCGAGACCAGAGAGTTTCGATTTGATAAGCGACCATTTCCCCTTAAAGCTATGGATGTTGGGAATTTGATCGGAGAGCGAAGCCAGGAGGTGCTTGGAGACTGCAATAGGGTCGTTTTCCGGCACTTTCATGGCGATTCAAAGCCCACCCCTTTCACCTTGGATAGGAAACTATGCACAGGAAAGAGAAAAGAGAAGCTTTTTTTCACCTCTGATTAGGGTTTACAGAGAGAGGCTTCTCGGAAGAGAAGAAGAACAGCAGCGGAGTGGACGGAGTTATACTGGGCGAGGGATGCGGTTGAGTTTCAGATGCAACTGAAGCGCGTGAATGTCACTGTGTTCTTAGGCTGATAACAGTTTTTTTTTTTTTCTTGTTCCCGCCACGCCAGCATTTACAGATTTGCGTTCCCTTTGTTTTTTAATTTTTTAACAATTAAGTAATATATTTTTAATATGTATCTTTAATAGTATAATTTTTTATTATAAATTTATATTAAAAAATAAAAATTAACATTCAATTTATTAATTATATAATTAAATTCATAATGATATTAAAATTTATATTAATTTTTATTTTTTATATAAATTTATAATGAAAATATACATTAAAAGTGTATATTAAAAAAATCCTTAAATAATTTATGATTTTTCAAGTATCTTAAGTCTTAAGGATATATTTTAAAAATACATAAATTGTTGCTAAAAATAAAGATTAATTTTAATTTTATCAATCATC